GCGCCACTTGTAAGAATTAAAGAAGGGCAACTTTAAAACGGGATAACTCAGTTATTTCTAAGCCGATTTAGATGTGGTTTTCACCAAACATTAAGAAATTTAACGTTTTTTACACTAATTAGAAATATATATATAGTCTTAATGTATAAACACTTGAAAGAATTAGTTTACATATTACATAAAGTATATACTCTGCAAATATTAATTTAATCAAGCCCGAAAGATAATTCCTTTAGGATACTGAGTAAACCAAATATAAAGGCATAACAACTTGCCATTTATTATCGTCATTAAATGATAATAAGTGTAAATAGGCGTACATTTAATTAGCTACCTAATCAACTTTACGCTTTGCTTTTGGTTCTGCAAATTGAAATAAATGAAGCGTATCTACAATATAATCTATTTGTTTATGTTAATAGTAAAAAATTATATATTATCTTTTACGAATCTTATAAGGAATTAAAAGAATTTGATTCAAATATTATTTCTATTTGAGAGTTTAGTTAGATGTTCCGGAATACTGCCCTGTATAAACATTTGCCTATACTCCAATTTAGCGCGCTTATGTGAAATTCAAACATACTTTTTAGAATTAATTAGAAATACGTTTAAAACACATTATAATTACCTTTTCGTGCAAAAACAATTAGTTTGAACAAGAGAATAACATTTTCCAAGAATGTAAACTATGATGTTAAACTTAACTTGACTGCTTAAACTTTGATATCTAACAAATATATATCTCGAATCTTCTCGTTTATTTAACTTTAGTCTAGAATTAAAACATATTGTCTAATTTGTTTTAATTAATACTCCTTATATTGTGCTTTATTATTTACCTATCATCAGTAAATTTGCAATTGCTCCATTTAAAAGAGCGAATTTTAAAGGAAGGTCCACATTCCTTCTTAACTAAGTCAGATAATATTTCTGAAAATAATTTCTCAATTTGATTTAAAATAATGTTTTTATTTGTATGTCGAGGAATATTATCGTATAAGGGATTATAGATTAGACATTCATTTTCATCTTTTTTAACCCTTCTTGAAAAATGTGATCTTTTGCGGTCAAGGGGATTGTTTTTAAAATAGTGCTATATTGTTGATTAAAAGAAAATGATCTATTATCTTGAGATAAAATATTATCTGGACTTAATTTAGTGAAAGGTTCATCTTCACAAATGTTATTTTAAATAATTGAATACCATGGAAATGCAATGTTATCAGAATATTGATCTTCAGGGTGTGAAGATGTCTTAGTTGATTTTTTTATTGAATTTACACTATTATTCATGGGAGTTTGTTTATAAATCAGTTTATCTTCTTCACTAATAAATAAATAATCTATGTTCTTAGTTTGATTTATTTCGGTATTGCTTTTAAGTGAAGTACTGAACTGGTTAAAAGTAAAGGATTATATTTAATAAAAATAAGCTTTCAGCAGAAATTGAGAGTAATATGTATTATTGTAGATTTCAATTAATCGAGCGTACTACCCATCATTTTCTCTCCGAATGCTCACTCTCTCTGTCTGAACGCGAAGACAACTCTGTTCTCGTTGTATAAACAAACCAATTTCTTCTAACAAATAAAACAACATTTTTTTAACGAATTAGGCATACTAATGTTTTTTTTGTATCTGTTCCCGTTTATTGTTATGAAAAAGTTGGGAATTACCATATTTACTTTAGGTAATCTCGGGTAATCTAGGATTGCCGAGAATGGGGACTGGTTTTGAAAATTCTTTCCTTTCTGAGGAACTATAATTTGAAGATAAACATGTCGCATTTTTTTATTTAATATAATGAGCTTTCGGCAGAAATTAAGAGTGATATGTATTATTGCAGATTTTTATTAAACGAGCGTACTACCCGTCATTGTCACTCCGAATGCTCACTCTCTCTGTCTGAACGGGAAGACAAGTCCGTTCTGGATTTATTAACAAATTAATTTCTTGTAACAAATAAAATGACACTTTTGAACAAATTAAACCAACTAATTGTTTTTTATATTTTTCTGAGGATCTATGCTTTGGAGATAAACATGTCGCATTTTTTAAATTTAATATAATGTAGCTAATGTCCTCATGGTTGATGAGACACCAAATAATGAAAGACAATAAAAACCGGCCTTTCGACCCTATAATAATTAATTTTGGGAATTTAGAGTGTTTTTGTACGTATTACATGTGGATTTGACTTTTGTTCAAACACATTTCAAATCACTTACATTAATTTCTTCTTTAATTTATATAAACTATTTTTGGCTTGTATTATTAAAAAGACCATCGTAACTGTTTTCCTAAATGGTATAAATAGGCCTTGATAGTAAATATTTAATTTTATTGCAGATGCCCCCTTTGTCTTTCCAACGTCGTGATAGAGTGGAACGTTAAGAATGGACAATGTTATTGCAACAACGGTGAGCCTTTTTGTTAGTTATGTCTACATTCTTATTAACTAGAAATTGAACTTATTTTTTAAATTTTCCGATATTATTTAGGAAAACTAATTGGTGGTACTTTTTAAATGTTTAATACACCTAGTGAAGAATATTTTAAATAATTATATTAAAACGAAAACTATTTTTGGTTATCGTTGTTAAAGGAATAATCTTAACTATTTTCCTATATTTTTGTAGTTATTACTAAATTTACTAAGTTTTCACTTATAATTACACATAAAACCAACAAGTTAATAAGTAGGTTTTTAAAATAAATAAAACAATATATAAAAAAAGACAATTTTTTTATTTTTCGAATGGTGCATCCCTACATCGAAGGTTTTTGTAATTCAACGCCGGTGGGGGACGCGGGTCCCCTGTCCGCGCGCGGGACCATTTTTAGCGGGATTGTATAGCCCCCAAGTGGTAAGTGCCACCTTTCAATGACCAGGAACTATCTTCCAAGTGGTTAGAAGTACCTTACAACAACTGCGATCCCCCTTCGGAGGGTTGACTTATACCTTTGCTAACAGAAATCACCTTCAAGTTGTTTAAAAATGATCACATCTGCGGAAGATGTGGTACAAGTACCACCCTCCCGCAGACGGGATCACCCTCAAACCACTTGAAGGTGTTCCTGTCCGCAAAGGGACAAGTCTTACCTGCGAGGGACGATCTTGGCTGTTGAAAGGGACTTCTTACCATTGAAAGACGGTTCCAGCCATCGGAAGATGACCCTCACCGTTGGGAGCTATTCGCACCCGTTAGAAATGGTCCCCCGTTGTCCGCGACGATGATCTCCCACGATGAGAGATGTCCCTGCAAGAGAAAAGAGAATATTAACCTACATAAAAATCAATTAGAAATTAGAAAAAGCAAAGAAAAGTAAACACTAAAAAAACATACTATTAAAAGCTTACCTTGATTAAAACGCGTCCTGATGTCCTTGTAGTGGGGTCCAAGGGTTGATGAACTTATGAAGATGGTTTATGTTCCTCCAGTGGATGATTCTGTAAAAGGTTCTCAAATTAGTAAAAGGAAGAGAATTTACAATGTGAAAGTAAATAAAAACAAGTATTAAGATACATAAAAAAGAAAGGAAAGCATCTAAAACAAGTTACAGTAAAGATAAAGAAAGAAAAGTAATTAAAAAAGGCATTTAAATAGAGATCAAGTAAACATTAAAAAAGGCAAAGAAAATAGATACTTAAAAAACCAGTAATTTTTAAACTTACCTCGATTGAAACGCGTCCTGATGTCCTTGTAGTGGGGTCCAAGGGTTGATGATGAACTTATGATGATGGTTTATGTTCCTCCAGTGGATGATTCTGTAAAAGGTTCTCAAATTAGTAAAAGAAAAAGAATTTACAAGGTGAAAGTAAATAAAAACAAGTATTAATAAACATAAAAAAGAAAGAAAACCATGTAAAACAAGTTACACTAAAAATAAAGAAAAATAATTAATATAATTTTTATCTTGACCGATTTTATAATATATTAGCTTTAATAACAATGTTAAACTTTTCGGTTCACATTGATAAAAGTTTTCGTATGCACCTTGTAATACAGTTAAAACATATTTTCCGACCTACGTATGATAATATACCACTGCGCCATCTTACATGAGTGCCTTGAAGTGGTTCTGCGGCGCCTACCGGCCGCATAAAGAACGTTGCTTGCTACTTGGTTAGTCACCTGCTAGGTTTACGTATAGTTGCACTACCACTTACGAGATAGCACACTTACTTACCAGTATACATAGGTTAGAACAAAAGTTTTGACGCAAATATAAGGGACATACGACAAGTTTCGACAGTTACAACAAAACGTGCAACTCAGTACACGTGAAAGAAGTGAAACTTCTTTGGCTATCTCTATACCTTTATAACGAATAAGTAATGACTGGTGAAAGAGAGAGTACGAGAAACTTCAGGATTTATGTTTTCCAGCGTATTTTATTTTTAGTGCACTTAAGGAGAATTACTTTAATACGTTTTTATGTAATTCAGTAACAATGAAATGGTAAAATTTTTTTCGCTTCCGTTTATTTTTCTAAAGGCTTAAGAAACCGTAAACTATCAATAACTACAAGGAATTAGAATTAATACATAATACTCACTCTTAAATAAATACTAATTGTTGTTAAACAAACATTTAATGTAATACATTTACTGTAATGTAACTGCACAGATATAACCAAAACATTAATTTAGCACTATAGTACTTTGAATACACAGTATAAAATAATTTATGAGATGCCGGTCACTAACAGCTACAGATATGCGCATGTGCGGCTTTTTATTCTCATAGCCTATCATCGCATATCCTATCACCCTTGAGATTTTACTCCCATCGAGCATAAAGAAGTTTCACTTCAAAAAGCATTTAAATTGAAATCAAGTAAAAATTAAAAAAGGCTTAAAAAACCAAAATAAAAAAAAAGTAATTAAAAACTTACCTCGACTAAAGCGCGTTCTGATGTCCTTGATGTGGTCCAAGGGTTAGTAATTATGTGGTTGAATCTGTAAAAGGTTTTTAAGTTAGTAAAAGGAAAATAAGGCGTAAGTAAATAAAAGTATTAATTAACCTAAGAAAGAAGCCTGTAAACAAGTCACACTAAACATAAGCAGGAAAGAATAATTAAATCAATAAAAATTAAGAAAAAATTAGAAAAGGCAAAGAAAATAAATTCTGAAGAAAACCTGGGATATATGATGGGAAAAAATAAGAAGGATGACACGTATAAATAATCAAATAGCAAGGGCAAATGCAGTAATAGGAAAAATATGGGGAATTGGAGAAAAATTATGCAGAAACGATTAGGGAAGAAGGATTTTATTTAACACAGTGGCAAGAAGAGTTTTCTTCTATGAGGTGGAAATCTAGGGGTGGAATAGGTACAATCAAGTGAATAATGTTTATAAAAAGGAGACAAAAACACATCAGAGATATTAACAAAAGTCATGGGTTTTGGGGTGAGAAATAGATATGATGAGGAAAAAAAAGCGTTGGAATAAATGACAATTGATGCAGTGAAAAAATATGTTATGAGGTGAGGTTTGAGAAGAATACAAAGATCGAAGTATACGGAAGAGATGAAAGGGTGGATGTGGGAAGAGTGGCAGGGAGATATAAGACCAGAGAAAAAATAAGGATATGACAATTATAGCAAGATTTAAAATGGGGAACAGATACAATGAAAATAAATACTGGTTGATTGAGGAAGAGAGAAAATGTAGCATATGCAGATGAGAAAATGACAATTTAAGTCGTATGATAGAAGAGGGTGTGGAAAATAAAGTCGGGAGTGAATACAGAGAAATGTTAGGAGCAGAAGAGTGGTTGCGACAGTATTTAAGATAATTATAAGGAAAAGAATAGGCGGGTAACAGCGGGAAAAATATAATTTTGTTTTATTTAAATTACAAGTTATGTGAGTTTATTTGGTTTAAATAATAAGCGTTTATGGTTTTTGGTATATTTTGCTTATGAGATACGTTTTTGTAAATGTATTCCTTCTGTTAAATAAATGCTACTGTTACCTACGTATAATTTCGCCAAAAGTTCACGAATTTAAAAATTATTCTAAATCTAACAACAACAGATGTTTTAAGCGTATTGTAGCTCCTATATTTAAAATTTGATTTCAAAATTGTTATAAAACAATTATAAGAAAGGTTAGACATTAATTCGACGAAGGCCACAATTAGAAACACAACATCATTATCATAATCGTAAGACTATTTGGATACACACCTCCATAAGCGATAAATAATAAAATTTCTGGTTTCGTCAAAAAGTTTGCAAATAGAGACATAAAATAAAACTTATAAAAAAATCTGCCTTAATAAAAAAATTAACAACAAACTATATTTGTTTAATAGAAAACACCCCTACCCCTTTTTAAACTAATTTATTATAAGTTTATTATAATAAATATAGAAAAAAGAACTTACCTTGCAAGGTATTTGAATGTCTTCTCATTTCAA